TTCATTCTTCTGGTAGATCAGCTTGGAAAACGAAGCCTGATTGGGAAATAAAATAATTTCCTAAAATACTTCACCATACCAAACTGGCTTCGTATTCACCATGCCTGAGATTAATTTTGAAGGTATTGATCCAGAGTCAAGTTCTTCTTTGGCATGTTCTCCATCACAACTGAGATTATTACATTTCCAGAAATGGGATTTTTGTCATTTATTTGGAAATGTAATGACTTTTATAAGGCATTTTATACTTACATTTACATATTCAGGTACATATTCTAGTATGTCTGGGATTGTCTACTTCAGGTAGAATTTGCACATATTACATGATCACATTGACAGCAAATGCTCCTGACCCCCCCTCCTGAAAGTGTTTGAATGAAATGCACATGGATAATTCTCTTTTGAGCAGTAGTCCTCCCAAACTGCTTGCTCTTTATATCTGATGTTCCCTAGCCCTGATGGCATTTTTCAAAACTTTGGACTTCAAAAATAATTCAATAATTCATTGGAGATGAAGTGAAATTAAGCTACTCACTGGAAACATTAATCACAAAAGGTTGAACTTTTGGACATGTAGAAAAATTGCAGGCAACTGAACTGAAAGAGACACCAACAGGTGAAGTGATTAGATATTATTTATCACTGACACAGGCATTGTACAAAAGACTAGAACTACAGGACCCTGGACAGCTCATTCCTTTTGCTGAACTGGAGAACCTATAGATCTGGAATTATTTTTTTTTATTACTTTCTCCACGTTATTTTTCCTGCTGAAAGCTATCAAGGGCTGTACACAACAAACAAAAGCAAATTACAAAACAAGAGAAATAGCTCTAAGAAAAACAAAATTGAAAAGAAAATGGAGGATAAAGGGACATTATAAAGGAGAGATATTGATCTTTGCATAACAAAATTTTCCAAAAAGAAACACAATTTTTTTTAAAAAAGCTCTTTTCCATCTCAGTAATGTCCATACCCATTGCAGAATCTCATAACATTGGATGTTCTTGCTTTGACACATATCTTATTTTAACTTTGATCAAATAAGCAACTTTATATTCCTTACTTTTACTCTGAAAATTTTAATCTTTAAAGTTCGTCAGTCACTCTCTCTCTCAGCCCAACTCACCTCACAGAGTTATTGTTCTGAGGAAAATAGGAGGAAGAAGGTGTGTTGGATACATTCACTGCCTTGAATTATTTGTAAAAATAATAAAGGTGGAATACAAATAAAATAAGTAAATAAATAAATATTGTTGTCAGATTTAATGCCTCTTCAATTCTTCTTTATCGCATTGCATGGACTTCTTCAAGCCTCTTTTGTAAGTCCAATAAAAAGACATTATTCAGATAATTCCTTTGGTGTAATTTTGTAAATCCCAATCCCAATCAAAACTCTAGGCAGGTTTTTCCCCCTTCCTTTTTCCCTAGAATTTTTAGTCCCCTCTAGTGCCTGATTTAAATCATAAGGTCTCTAATCTCTGTTAGGACCTATAGTAGACAAAATAATTCTGGTTCCCCCCCAAAATCTGTTTATTTTATATAATTAATTCCAAAATATTGAGGTAAAAGTTGCAATATTCCAAATTTGTCTGGATACTTAAATAATTTATAACTTTCTTGGATCAAAATCTTATTTATCTTTTTTGCCATTTATTTCAGCTTTTTAAGTTCATAAATATATAGTCCTTTTCTTTGGTTTAGAAGTGAAGGTTTAGCAGCTTTTCAAATGCCTTTTTGAAGATCTTCAGTACTTTAAAGATAATTAAATAGGCAATTCTGAAAGTGATTAGTGAAAGGCTCTGCCATGGTTAATGAGCTTGATGACTGAGCCTTTCATTTGCCAGCACTGAAACCCATGGGAAGAACAGCCATCCAAGGCACAGATGGGTGATCTCCCATCTTCTTCATGTCCAGATGGAAGGAAGACCAGGGTTATGAAGAACCAATGTACTTGCCAGTTCTTCAATCTTTGCCATGGTTATCATCTCCATTCTCCATGGAGATGTGTTTGCTTGCCATGCCTCCACTTAGATTGCACACCAGATTTGAACGAGGAAGTGCAATTCCTTCCAAAGACAGAGATTAAAGACAAAGAATCCTAGGATCTAGGGAGTCCTAATATGTACAGCCATTCAATCTTTGTACAATCAAGACAGGACATCAACTATATCACTTGAACAATGCAGAGTTGATATGTATAAATGGGTATCAACAATCTGTTGATGATACTATACCCCAAACTGACAGATGATATCACATTATGGTTTTATGTAGATGTTAAACAAGAGGGGAGAGATTATTGAGCCGTGTGGCACCTCTCATAGAAGGGGCTGAGGGTGCAACCTCTACCCCTCTGTCAATACCAATCAGAAACTGCCATGAAGGAAAAAGGAGAACCAACCTAATATGGTGCCCCCATTTCCCAAACCTCACAGTTAGTCCAGAAAGATATTGAGACTGTATCCAAAGCTGCTGAGAAATCAAGGAGAGGTCAATGAATGCACCATCCCCTCCCAACAACATCAAAAGTCATTGACAAGTATAATTATTACTGACTCCATACTAAATCCTTGAATGCTGACTGGAACAGATATAAATAATTTGCTTCCTCCAAATTTAACTGGACTCTGACCATCTTCTCAACAACAGAGAAGGTCCCATTTTTAAATGGAACGTTGAAGACATGACAATAATTGTATAAAAAAATTCATTGATTCCAGGCACAGCCTCTTGAGGGGGCACATTGCCTCCTCCTTCAAGGCTCTCCCTGAAACAGGCCAACTCCACAGCATGGACCCAACTGCAGGATACCTCTTGAGTGCCTTCAACAACCTGGGAGAGACATAGATGTAAACAGCTTGGAGAATCCTGCCCACTTCCTCAAGAGTCACCAATTCAAACTCATTCCAGCTTACACTGCAAGACCCAGGCATCTTAGCCAGACCTTCCTAGCTGGAGTCCACCTCTGAGTGGGATGTGCATGACTTATTTATTATAAGCCAAGCAGCTAGGTTATTCCTCACAGCAGCCCTGCAGATGATCCTGTGGCCCACCCTTCCCCAACTAACACAGGACAGCTGAATTGGCAGACATGAAAAGAATAGAGAAATATAGATATTTTACTGTTGTTATCATGAGTAATCCAGTATATGGATTATATTATGAAAACATCATCACACTTTTGCCAAGCAAGTGCAAAGTTATGCAGATAATAGGAAGCTTCATGGATACTGTTTGTGCAGAAGAGGAACCTTGTTGCAACTGTAGGAAACCAGAAAACAGGCAAATACTTGTCTTCATTTGAAAAAGAAAGTTATAGAAGAGGTCCATTCTAAGTGTGGAAGAGGAAAATGCATTCTCCATGGGAGGAATAAAATAATTGGGAAAGGCTAATGGTAGTAGATTCATGCCTATCAATTTTAAAAATGATCCTTGTAATTGTACCTCTCACAATAATTTAAATGCAGGAATTATCAACCAAAGCTTTTTACAGTAAGCGGATAAAACAATACATTTAACCCTGCAAATCAAGCTATTTTGAGATACAAATAGCTGAGTGGAGAATAAGCAATATTAAGACTGCAGTGGTATGTTCTCAGTGTTTGCAACTGGATTAAACTGTTATGCAGATTTGCCCACTAGATGTTGTTGCTATTTACTTATTTAAGCTTTCAAAGCTACTTTTTCTAAAGCAAGGGATATATATTGATAATACCCTATCAGATGAGAAAAAGCAAGTCCTACTCTGATCCATAATGTTAATATACTGGTGATAATATACAGGTTTCCTAATATAAGACTGCACACTACAACCGGTGATGTTTGCTACTGGGAAGTAGACTTCTGGAGATCCAACACATTGAGAATAATACTGTTTGCCCCAATAAAGTCTTGTTTATTAAAAAAAAAAGCAGTTATGTTTGGTATCCACCAACCTAGCCAATTTTAGATTACTTGGTATTCCTGTTGAATATTTTATTTTTGATTAGCAAGTTCCCTGAAGAGTGTCTTCATAACTTATATTTTCTTTCCTTGGGGAGCCACAATGAAGATGAATTATCTCCATCTCATTACAATAAGGGTCCTATTTATACCACTGCTTAGCACCTCTGTTTCAGGAAGAAAAAGGTTACACTGCAAAGACTTGAATGATTGTACAATGTGTATCATCCCCATGAAAGAGATCCATTTTTAGTGAAAACATCAAGGCTTCCAATTCCAGTAGAGATATGGTAACGTATCCAATTATATTTTATGGGCAAAGAATATGATCTTCTTAGTGCTTTATTCAGCTTTATCTCCCCCTTTCCTTTGTGTCTGCATATACAGTAGTGGCCAAAATTGTGGAAACCTTTTGGGAAAAGTGTACAGTAGTGCCACCTTTGGTTAAGTTTCCACCAATTTTCTTCCAATTTCTTTATAACTGTAGCCTTGTTTACTTAATAATACTATTTTACATCGCTTTCTGGGCAACCAGTCAACTCTCTGCACCATTACTATTCCCCTAAATTAAGCCATTTCAGTTTAATTTATAGGAAGGAACTGAGTTATCGGCAAAGGAATTCTGGAGCCCTTTTGTCATTTTTTTTAAAATAACATTCTTAACTAATCAGTCCAATTGTCAGAAACTTTTCTTTTAACATCCATTCCCCTATTTTAACACTCATAAATAATTTCTCATTGTATATTCCCCCATCTACAGTATCTAAAAAAACCCAAAACTAGTCCTAACATATCAACAAGATTCTCAGTTGCTCAGAAAAAGTGAAAGAGGAGAGATTTATGCAGACCTTGGCCGTATTTGGAGGGAGTGGCTTTTTTCAGTTGCTGGAATGCAAATTAAAATAAGCTGTATGTCTTTCACAAGCGAAATTCCTATGGATACTATTTAACAGCTGTACATCTATTTCTATCTCTCAAGCTAGTTTATTATCTTTGGATCTAGCTGAAATACAGAGCAGAGAAGTAGACAAGAACTTGGTCCTAAATGCCTGAGTTGCATGATGAATACGGAGCAGAAGAATCAAACCATCTTTGCTGGATTCATCCTTCTGGGTTTCTCCTCCTCACCAGACCTCCAAGTGCTTCTCTTCCCCATCTTCCTCTGTATGTACCTACTTTGTCTGCTAGGAAACCTCTTGATAATCTTGCTGATCTCCTCCAGTACCAATCTCCTCCACACTCCCATGTATTTCTTCCTCTGTCACTTGTCATTGGCTGACCTCGGATTCAGTTCTGCTGCAGTGCCCAAATTGCTATACAACTTAGTGACCCAGACGAAAGCAATATCCCGTAATGGTTGCCTGACACAGATGTATTTCTTTGTGAGTTTTGCTGCGACAGATAACTTTCTCCTGGCCTCCATGGCATATGACCGCTATGTAGCCATCTGCCGCCCACTGCACTATGCCAGAGTCATGAGCTTCAAGTGCTGCCTTCTGTTGGCTGCTGGATCTTGGCTCCTGGCTCACTCCCACTCTTTGTTGTACATCCTGTTAGTATCTAATTTTACCTTCTGTGCTTCCCGAGAAATCCCCCATTTTTTCTGTGACCTCCATCCTTTATTGAAAATCTCTTGTTCGGACACCTCCATTGTTGATAAGCTTCTTGTGAGCGAAGGAACAGCCATTGTTCTTGGGCCTCTGCTTCTCATTCTTTTCTCTTACATCTTCATTGTCCTGAAGGTGGTGAAGCTTCCATCTAAGTCCAAGAAGTACAAAGCTTTCTCTACTTGCAGTGCCCACCTCACCACCGTGGCTTTGTTCTATGGCACTGTGATAGGCACCTACCTCCGCCCATCATCTTCCTATTCTGTCTCAAGGCTGAGAGTGGCATCAATATTCTATACAGTAGTCACCCCTATGCTCAACCCTTTCATATACAGCCTGAGGAACAGCGAGATACACGCAGCCATAAAGAGACTGGTAAGGAATTGGTTTTAGTGGAACCAGCATCCTCAGCCATAGGTACAAATAATCATGACTGTCAATGGAAAGTTGCCCAATGATTCCTAGCATTTAGAGTTTTCTGTTATTCTCTTGTCTGTAAAAAAATATATATAGCAAAGTGCAACCAAGCTTACTTTTTATATTAGCTGTTTCTCAACATACAAAGGCACCTAGAGATCTGTCAATAACATTATAAGCCACTCTGTTCCGTGAAGTAAAATTCAACTGTCAGAAAACACCCTGCTTTTGGACAGCTTATTGTCTGAAATAACTTCTGTGATGCTTTTTGACATTGGCAGTATTTTTTTGCAAGCTATCATAGCTGCTGGTCTCATCACAAGGCAGGGTTTTCCAAGTGGTGTTTGCCCAAAAATAAAGTTTATTTATTTCCCTGGGAACATTTTGGCCAAAGCGTATGAAGCAACTAGTGTTTATTATTGCTTTTAAGGAACTGATTCTTTTGCAAGGTAAAAGCCAGAATTCTCAGTGTGCTTAATGTACTGTGTACGTTTGTGTGTCTCCGTGGGTGTTCAATTGATTATTGGCTACTATAGATTTCTTAGCTACATTTTTGTATTTTCCTATTGCCTTTCTTCTACAGAAAGTCACCCTTTGGACCTAAGGCAGGATTAGAACTTATTGATCCCTGGTTCTAATCTGGTGCCTTCAACCTCTACACTAAATCCCTAAATCTCCATTATTTTCTTCTTACAAAAATTAGGTGGAAATATCTATTCTTGTTACAGAGGAAATTAGAGAGTATGAATAATTAACCATCCTTCAATTGGTTTCTCTACAACGTTACCAAGTTGGCTCTGTTTTGCTGATTAATTTTGTTTGCTTTTATCCTGCCCTTAAAGAAGTCTCTTCTTCTTCTTTTTAAGCATGGCTGTTATCCATCCATGTGAAATGCTAGGTATTTCAGTTCTAGGTTACAAGAGTCTGAAATTAATCACAGTGAATCATCAACTCCTCTTCCACCAGATTTCTGTCTTCCTGAATCACAGCATTTGCTTTTCTTGCTGTCAGTCAGAACCATCTCCCAGTGCCAAAGATTTGCTGGTGAAATCACAGGATTTTTTTTTTATAGGCTATATTTGATTTCCTTGCCATATATTGGGAATTAAGTCCCTGAATTCAAAACTATCTGTCTTTTGCTAACTTGTGTTGTGTCTCTCTGTCTAACCTACCTCACAGGGTTGTTTGGGGGAAAATGGGAGTGTGAAGTACTCTCTATGTTGTCTTGAATTTTTGCATGAAATGTACGATATAAATCAAGGAAACATATATATTACCTTTTTTCATCCCTACAATCAGTAAAACATATTATTCCTATTTTGTTAAAACCTACGGGTTGAAAGTAAATGTTTCAATACAAATACAAATAAACTATCATGCAAATCGGTAACTGTATCATTAATTGATCTTATTGTTTCTGTCATAATTAATAAAGGGATGAAAGTATTCTCTTTTCTGCCTTCCTTTTTTTTGATCTGTGTAGACTTCAAACCCTATGATATGTGTTTCTGCACAAACAGTTTATTATTGCTTATTGCAGATCAAATCTTTATTGTAGTCAAAGACCAGTACAAGAAGGATGGGATACAGCCAACTAAAAAGTATAGAGAATACATTGGAATCTAAAAAATAATAATTATAAAGGGTTTTAAAAATATAAAACAGAAGTATGTATAAAAAACAAAAGTCTAAAACAAATCTAAAAAGAGGAATATTAAATGAGCATGAGGAGCATGAAGTTTAGTATGTGACAGACTAAATCTATTCCAAGGCAGAGTCCTCTAGAATTTCCAATCTAGATGTTCATTAAGACTAATTTATGGCACAAGTCATCATCTGATTGATTTTAAACACTGCTGTGCAGAACATGATGACATTATATGTTGTAGCAGGGTTGGTATCTAAAAGCAGAAGGGGGTAGAATTGTGCTGTTCACTCTGGGTATGTATGCACCTACAAGGTTAATATGAATGTGTCAACTGTCCGGCTATCGAATTCAACATTGAGGAAACTTTACAGCTTTGAGGTGCCATAAAAGATAAACTTTATTGAATACACATCTTGGTACTGAAGAAGCAAAATCAACTCTAGTTTTCCCATGTGAAAATCTGGTTAGTTAACAATAGCTTTTCATTACCCCCACCCACCAAGTGTTCATGTTGCCCAATCACATCCCTTCGGTTTGTTATGGGAACAGTCCACTTCTCAGTCAGATACCTGCTTTTGTGACCTTGGGTCTCATGGTCCGTGGACGGCTTTGTGAAACTCCTTTTTCTTTCCCAGGCTTTCCCTCCCCCTTGTTTCTATGACAAGTTGAGTAGCAACAGAGGTTAGCAAGCATCTTAGCAATTCAACCTTGACAGAATGTCTCTCTAATACAGGCACTGGAGAAGCACGGCTTTGTTGTTTCTGTGTCTTCAGAGTCACAAGGGCATTGACTCTCCTTGTAGGGAATCTACCTCTATTGGCCTTCAAGGACAGCTGAAGGGAGGGGAGGGCATGACATTGTGCCAGAGTAAAGGCCCTTTGGTGTTAGGTATTTTGAGATTAGTGAGATATGCCATAAGGGAGGCAGAGTACCTGTTGGAATTCACTGGCATCAAAGACTGGGCCCTGACTAGATCCAATTGGTGCTCTAGTCTTTGCCACATGCTGTTTACTAAGTGTTTTGGGCCAATCATATCCCATGCTGAGTAGAAGGTCTGGAGAGAAGCTCAAGGATGAGAATTTAATTGCCACTGCCAATCATCCCTGAAAATCATCCTTCATAGTTGGCGGGGATTGCTCATTGCAGTTTTTCCCAACATTGGATCCTCTTTTTTACAATAATTTTATTGAATATTACAATTATAGAGATATAAAGTTACAAAAAATAAAGAGGAAAAAATGTAAAGAAGGAAAAAGAAGAAAATGTAAAAAAAAGAGAAGAGAAGAAAGAAAAAAATAAGAATATAAAGAAAAAAGAAATATAAAGTAACTTCCCCCTTGTCTCAACAAGTGTAAACAATTTTAACAACTTATTATTTTTGCTTAAAATACAACAATCTCTCCCCCCTATATCCTATCTATAGACAAATCCTTAAAACCTCATCATTCAATCCCTTCAAATAATGTCCTAGAAGTTTTCAATTTCTTTTCTTTTTTTCCTTTTGTCTCTTCTTACCAAGTCTTGCAAAAAATAAAAAAATCTCTTTTGTAAATCTAAGAACATTATCCAAGTTATTCTCCTAGTTGTTTGTTTGTATGTCTTTTAATTATTAAAACATCAAATGGTTTCCTGTACATCCAATATTTCAAATTCTACTTAACATAAGCTGGCATAAAGATTGGCTTTTCACTTGCATCCTGGAATGGATTTTACAGCATGTTTCTGTGAATTTAAGAGAAATGATGTCCTTCACATCCCACCTCCCAAAAAGATTATATTAGTGTTGCAGATTTGGGAAATCTTTCAAATATGCAGAAATATTGCTAGTTTTGAATGTCTTATTTGGCTTGATAATTTCTATTAGATGGAAAATAATTAAATTACCAGAAAATGTCACACTGAGCACTTTAACTCTGAGTCTCATTCTTCTGTCCTCCCTTCAGGTCTTCCAAGTTTTTATTCCTGAAAATTTAATCAGTATTTATTTCACTGAGCATAGTTTTCATTGGGCTTTTTTTTCAAAATGTTCAAGTAATAAACCCACTCAAATGTTTCCATTGATTTTTAAGGGCAGATTTCACTTTCCTCCATTTTTCATGCTAAATATTTCTAGATGTTCTGTGCTTGATAGATCTTACTCTCCTGAGGTGATCACAAGGAAGCACCTGAGAGAAGTTATGAAAGGCAGAGGGATGTCTACCGTAATAGGTCAGATTTTTCAGGACCCTGAACAGTTCCATATTTAGATCCAATCCTAATTAAGACCACGAGGGTATCTGTTATTTGTAGTTCAGGGTTGACATTAGGGGTCCATGGTGCTCTTTGAGCTTGCTTGTTTTCTTGCAGACATTTCATTACCCCAGCACTGATGATGTTACGTAGTTTGGGTAATGAAATGTCTGCAAGAAAACAAGCAAGCTCAGAGAGCGCCAAGGAATCCTCGTGGTATTTGTTATGATCCTGATAACATATTAAAATGAAACAAATTGCCTTTAAAATAAAGTAATTAGACTGTTTATTTTAGAATATATTTTCCCATGTATATCATGAGTAGAAGAGACAGTATCATATTGCTTAATTTTTTTATATATCCAGTATTCTTTCATCATTCTAGCCATTGTCTATCCACTGCAAGATGAAGGCTTCTTCTGCATGTTTTCAACCAAAATGGTCCTGAGCTTTCTTTTGCCAATTGGGCCTGCAATACTTGCTGATGTCATTTTAGGTCTCTTTTGTGGATGCTTTTTTATCAAGTGGGATCCATTCTATGCCTGACTTGGTCCACCTGCCATCAATTCTTCTTGCTATGTGACCAGCCCATTTCCATTTCAATTCTTTTACTCTCTTGATGATATCGTATACTTTTGTTTCTTCTCTAATCCATATGCAGGTCTTTCTATCTTGTCTTGTAATGCTGAGCATTTATCTTTCCCATGGCTGTTTATGCCCCTCGTAGTTTTTATATCGATTGTGAAGTTAGTATCCATGTTAATAGAATAGAATAGAATAGAATAGAATAGAATAGAATAGAATAGAATAGAATAGAATAGAATAGAGCTTGAAGGTACCTTGGAGGTCTTCTAGTCCAGCCCCCTGCTCAAGCAGGAGAACCTATACCACCTCAGACAGGTAATTGTCTAGTCTTTTCTTAAAAACCTCCAGTGATGGAGCACCCACAATTTCTGGGGGTAAGCTGTTCCACTGGTTGATTGTCCTCACTGTCAGGAAGTTTCTCCTTAATTCCGGCATATGTTAGAGCAGGTAGCACACACACTGATCAAAAACATTTTTCTTCAGCATTCTTTGCATACTCCAATATCCAGCATAT